ATGCAACACCAGCTGAGGACCACAGACTGTAGGCCTGTAAGTGAGCCCAGGATCTGGCCCTGAGGGAATCCACATTACTGGGGGGGGGGGGGGGGGGGGGGGGGGGGGGGGGGGGGGGGGGAAGAGGGAGGGAGTCAGTAAACCAAAAAAAGGAAGCCATGCTGGCAACTGAAACCCAGGGTGAGCTTGCACATCTGGTGAACAGAGTGGGAGTAAAAAGGAATATAATTTCTTTTTATTGGATTTATTCGTATATTCCCATGGAAGCCAGTGAGAGCCTAGAAATGCAAAATACCATGTGAGACAAAGCACATTGTGTGAGTCCATTTCTGCCAGCTTGTGTGGCAAGCAACACTACCAGTATTGACAGGGTTCACTCATAGTAACCAAAACCAGCAACAACCAAATAGCTAAGAGTAAGTTAATGCCTCTTCACTGGAGTCTTTCAAGTGAAAATTCTAATTTAAATGTCTTCTGTTTCTTACTGTGTTTGGGATAGATAAGTTGATGAGACCTGAGAACAGCTTTCAGTATCCAAAGGAGGGCTATAAGAAAGAAAGAATCAGATTCTTTAGCAGGGTCTGTGGTGATATGATGAAGGGAAATGGTTTCAAACTAAAAGGTGAGAGATTTACATTGGATAGAAGGAAGATTTTTACAACTATGGTTGTGAAGCACTGGCACAGGTTGTCCTGAGAGGTGGTGGGTGCCCTATCCCTGGAGATGCTCAAGGTCAGGCTGGACAGGACTCTGAGCACTCTGACAAAGCTTTGGGTGTCCCTGTTCATTGCAGAGCATTTGGACTACATGGTCTTCAGTGGTCCCTTCCAAATCAAACAGTTCTATTATTCCAAGTCAGTGAGGAAACAAAACCAATGACAGAGCAATATGTGACCTTGCCACTTACTGGAAGAAATAATAGTGAGGAGGGATGGTACTGCAAACAAGCAACCCTAGATGGATTAGATCACAATTCCATGTACAGGTCCTGCAGCTGGAGTCCTGGTGGTATTTGATTAATTCTGTCAAAATCTACTCAGTAAAGATGAAAAAAAAAACAAAAAAGCCTGTATCCCAATAAGCCAGTGAACTTTAGTCTAATGTGCATATAGGATGCTATGCAGTAAAATTCTTAAAGCAAAAAGATGGGAAAATTATTCTTTCTGAAAACAGCTGGGCCACTGACTCACTGTGTGGGCTTGGGCAAGTCCTGGGACTTCTTTGCATCTTAGTCACCCCAGCAGTTCTACTGGATGAAAGCAGAATGGATCACAGTATGCTCCAGTATTCAATATGCTGCAGATGCCTCTGCTGAAAGAAGCATTCCTGGCTAAATAAGCTCACAATGCAAAACCAAAAGGAACCAGGGATAGCTGGAGGCACCAGTGTGAACAGCAGCATTTGTGTAGTCAATTGAAGCCTTTGCATTGTTGTAGATCTTCATGGTCATACAATCTTATAGCTCCAACTCCAATGAGACAAGATTTAAAACTCATTCTACCCTTCTTGCAAGCATTTTTTTTTCCCTATACATATAAATAAATCATATACATGTACACATATAATATAACATGGAACTCTGAATTAGTTTGTTGTATATGTAGCTTTAGAATGTTTTGACACCAAACCAGCAAACGCACTAATGCTGAGAACTGCCTTGAAGTGGTTAATCAAGAGATAAATTATTCCTATCACAAAATATTTCCGCAAGTTAGAATCATTAAAATAGCACTTTGTGACATATGTTTTAGAGTAAATCCCACTTCAAGGTAGAATATCTGCTAAAGTAATAAATATTCTCTGCATTAAAGTAAAGTGCACAGTAGACAGAAATATAGGTTAAAATCCTGTACAGCAATGTTGGCTTTGGGACTCAGTTCAGCATAGTGTTTAATTGTGTGCAGGTACTTAGATCCTGATGCAGCAGAGCACTAATGCACATATTTAATTGCTGCAATGAATAAAGACCTAAATAAGAGTAGGCTTACTCATTTTTAACCTTCTTACTATTCTTCGTGTTAAGCAGGTGCTTAATGCACAGTGTTTTTTACTGATCTGGATCCAGGCTACATTCAAAATGTGTCAGAAAATTTCAAGCACCTTCCTGAGAAAGGACAGAGGCTTTTTGCTTTTGAAAACTGCAAATTTTGGAGATTCTCTGGGCTACAGATGGAGAGAAAACCCTTTTCACAAATTTTTAATTAAGCTTTTGAAGCCAGTCTGGATTGTAGCTTGTGGAATCAGTTCCATGTAATCACCCTATAGGTGATTTATCAGAACAAGTCGGGTTTCCTGGGAGTATGTGCCAACATCATAGACTTGTGACTTCTTCCTCTACAACCACTTTGTGAACAACTCCAGTGAGTGAATGGACACTGGAGAGCAGAATACTTAACCACTGGTAGTGGAAGATTAACTTGCCGCAGCCTGAGACATACACATTGCTAAGGCAGGGTGGAATACTTTGCATATTGCGTTGGACATGTTTGGGGGAAAAAAGAAAGCAATGTCAGTGCAGAAACCAAATGGAGGACACAGGGTTATTGTATGCAGTTCTGGTCAGTCTTTTCCAAAGGGGTAGAAAGGAATTAAAGAAGACAGAGAAAAGGATGAAGGGGGTGATCAGAAGCAGGGGACCTCTTACACACGAAGAAGTGACAATGATCCTTCTGTTCCTCTGTAGTGGTAACAGATATTACCACAGATGGCATGGGGAAAGTGGGCAGGGAGCGATCTTCTTCTCTTACCACAAGAGTCAGGAAGCACCCCATGAAATAATCAGAGAGCAGACTTGAAAACCAACATAGATAATCTGGTTTCCTAGTGTGCATATCTCATTGTTACAAATGGATCAAAGCAACTGAAAAAAAAAATGGGATTATAAAACTGAGAAGAGGCTGTTGGTAGTTTATTAAACTGAACCTCAATGCTGCCAGGTGGAGACTAAAAATGTATAGCAGACAAGGGTCATATTGCTTTTTTTTTTAATTTAACATACTCCTTTCCTAGATTCCGCTTCTGGCCACTGCAGAAGATCAGGTTATGAACTAGGTCGATCTTTTGTCTGACTCGTATTTTGGGGAGGGGATAGAAGTTATTTTCTCATGTACATCATAGTTGAAAAGTGATCCTACCTCCACTTCCCTTATTGTGTGACCCCAGACATGCTGCCCCAAGAAATAGTAATAGGTTGGGGTTAATCCTCACAAACATCTCTTCTTTAGTAAAGCTACTCTTAAACAAAACACTGGTTCCTCCAGAAACAATGTGTCCCCACAGGAAAATAACCACTATTGTATGCTCTGTGGCTTCATTGTCTAGTCTTAAGATGGAGGAAAAAGGCAAGGCATGCCAACTCCTTGCCAGTGTGATGGAAAAACTGAGTTTATACAACTCAAGAGCAACTAAATAAGCATGCTGTAGTGACTAACTATGGTGAGATGAAGGAGGAACTTGATGTCACTGACAGTTGTCCAAGTGTCAGCCTACAGAGGACTTAACAGGTCTTCTGCCTATCTTTCCATGCAATTAGACCTCAGAAGGACATAATCATTCCAGGTGGTTTCTATTCTCCTCATTTCTTTCAGGAAAGCTGTCAGCAGCCAGTGTTGGTTGGGTTTTTTTTTTTTGTTCGTTTTGCTTTTGTTGTTGTTTTTTTTTTGTTTGTTTGTTTTGTTTTTTTTTTAATAGCACTCAAAACACAGTCATTTGTTTATATTGTGGAGCATTTTATTAATGTTGCAGCAGCAGTAGCAAGCCAGGTATTTGGAATGGTGCAATAGGAATACAAATTTGTGGAATCGGGAGATAAACTCTTGCCCAGTTAACAATGTACTAATTTTGGAGGAGAAAAATGTGCCTTCAGCTTAAGTCAAGGGAGATTTCGGGGGCAGAGAGGTGGAAATTACTTTCTAGTGAATTGTTTCATTTGCAAAGGGCACTATCACCTGGTCTTGAGTCCCCATTCCAGCTTGGTTTCCTGCTCTTGCATCTGCTTCATTACCCCCTTCCCTCATTGAAGAGATGGGTATTTTGTGCTCTGCTGAACTGGTAAAGGACAAGACACAGCTCATCACGACTGAGCAGATTTTGCCTCTTCTTCTCATTGCTCAGCTTTGCTGCGAAGGAGTGTTATACCAAGAGCTGCTGACATTAAATCTGAACACTTTTTGCTGACCGTTGCACAGTGCATGGGTGGCTGAAGCAAACGTAGCTGCGGATTTCAAGAGTAAGCTTTAGGGAAACCCTCCTTTGATCAAGAAAGGTGACTGCACATTCTGCATCCAATTCAAGCATACTGAAGGTGATTTACCAAGATAGCACTGAGGGGGCACATTTTAAGTGTATAGCACCTATGGATCAAACGAGATTTTTCACCAAGATCTCAGCTCCCACGGGTGCATCTGAGCAAATAACACCCATGCTTTCAGCAGTGCAGGCATTCCTTCTTTCCTGATTTAAACTTACCAAAAAACGCTGAAGAGGGAAGGCTGCTTTAGCAGCTTTGGCTCATGGTTGGAAAAATGTGCAAAAGGCAAAAAACTAACAAACAAGGGGGAAAGAGGAACCTCCCATCTCTGCTTCAAACAAGCAGATACTGGCAGCATCATGAACAAGTAGCAATTTGAAGATCAGCAGGAGAGGAATAGGTCAGTAGTGGTTATTTTCCTGTGGGGACACATCCTGTGCGGGCAGGTCCTTCACAGGCATCCCTTCACAGACACAGACAGTACATAACCATGCATGAGGCACTGTGGGGCTGATGTGATCCCCATGCTCTGGGAATGAAGAGGGAGCTTGTAGAAGCTCCTGGCTCTGTTTCCAGGGGATGAAAGAGCAGGGACCTGTCTGCCTGAGTCAGGTATGGGCAGTCAGGTATGACTAGCAGATGTCATGACTTGGTGGGTTATCAGGATAAAGATCTTCAGGCAGAAAGCCCTTTGTCCTGCCCTAGGGTTTCAGGCCCTAAAGGCAGGGGATGTAAATCTCGAGTGGTTTACCTGCCTTCTGCATGACTGCTTCTAAAGCTGATGGCGGCAGTCTCAGGATCTGTGAGGTCCTGGCCTAGAACAAGATGCAGAGACCTACTTCAGTCACACCCAGATTCATGGAGCTGCGGTATTTATCACCACAAAATGCCAAGGAATCCTCAAGTTTGATAATGCCCCACTCCTTACTCACTCAGCTGCAGCCCCTTACACAATACTTTGTCTGATTTACACAGGCTTCCTGACAGGACCAACATACACTCTATGTATTCACAATATCACTGAATGTCAGGGATTGGAAGGGAACTTGAAAGATCATCCAGACCAATCCCCCTGCCTTAGAGGAACACCTAGATTAGGTCACACAGGAATGCATCCAGGCAGGTTTTGAATGTCTCCAGAGAAGGAGATCCCACAACCTCTCTGGGCAACTCGTTCCAGTATTCTGTTACCTTCACCATAAAGAAGTTTTTTTTCTAGTATTAATGTATTCTTGTTTGATCAGATGTGGTGGAGTCTCCTTAACGTCTCTGACACGTGCCTCCAGAGATAGCAAATCTCTCTGGAGAGGTTGTCTGGGCAAGAGATGGGGGCCTCAGTGCATCCCGGCATGGAGTCCCCAATCACTAAGACAATGCCAGGCAATGCCCAGCAGCTGCTCCCTGGCAGGGGCTCTCCCTCACCCACTGAGGTGATTCCCTGCTTCAGTGCGGAACGTGTCCACTCTGGAGCCGAGTGCATCACAAAAGCACGCTGTGTTTTGGGGCCTGCAAGGCTGCCCTGCATGCTGTCTGGTCCCCAGGGCACGTCATTCTCTATGAGGTGACACTCCCTGGTGAGATGTCACAGTGGCTGTCCCTTGTGGCAGCAGTGGGAGCGGTGGCTCAGTCCGCTTGTGGGACCCGCAGGAAGTGGAACCAGAGAGAGCATTGCGTCTATCTGGAGATATCCTGCTATTATGGAGCGGCTGAGAGCCCTTCGAGGTGAGCTCCCTCTACCTCTCTGGACACTGTGATGCTGCCTGAGCACATGTGTGCCTCCAATGTGTTTAGGACGTGCAGCATTGTCCTTGCTCTGCTGAGTGCAACTGTCCATAGTGGTTTCCCCCCGGGGGAAGGCTCTCTCCCCTCTTTCCACCGATTACACATGTGCCAGCACAGCTCACCCTGTGCTGTGGGGCTGGAGGCTGGATGCTCAGCCCTGACTCCAAGCAACACCACCGGCAGCTGCTCTGCTCTTTCCTTCCAGGTCTCTTTGCCTGTGTGGGCTGCATGCCCAGGCGAACACGTCGCAGGGAGAGAAGCAGGGTGTCAAGCCCTGTCCCTGCCTGCGCCGTGACTTTACTGCTGCAGCGCCTGCAAGATCAGGAGGTGAGATGGGGACATCCAACCATCAATCCTTGCCCTCTGGCCCAGTGTCACGGTCCCGTGGGTGCCGGGCCCCGGCAGCACATCCACATAGCGATGGGTGGCAGTGGGCAAAGCAAATGTGACTGATCCTTGTCCCCAGGGTGACCGAGTGCAGGCGTACTGTGAGCTGGAGAGCGCCCTGAGGGAAGCCGACAGCCGCCCGCCCTGCGGAGTGGTGAACCGGCTGCTGGCAGAGCTGTCCCGGGACCTGACAGCAGCCCAGGTGAGGGGTCACTCCCAAAGGCAAAAGGAGCCGCCTGCCCACACTGGTGTTCTGCTGGTGGACGGTGGTGGCTTAACCCTTCCAAGGGCCTCAGGCAGTCTCCTGTGCTGTGTGTCACCAGAGACTCTTTTTCAGGGTGTGACAGCCAATGTGAGGACAGCTGCCAGCAATGTCCTGGTGGCTCTGGCTCAGACGCACTTCACCTTGGTGATGGCTGAGCTCCAGAGCCTCCTGAAGGCCACAGAGGAGATGTCCAAGGAGTTTGTGCTCATCACCCTGAGCAAACTCTTCAGCACATATGGTAGAGTGCCCTCAGCCTCCTGACATCTATAAAAACCGCGAAAGGGGTCTCTCCCCTCTGCGTGTGATCTGCATTCAGCTGGGGGATGCAGGGCTGCAGCCCCTCCTCCCTCACTGCTGGGGTTCTGACCGTGGCCCTCTCCTTCCTCTCTGCAGCTCCACAGTGCATCCCCTTCGTGTGGCTGATGCTGGCTGGCCTGCGCAGTGTGGTGGGCCAGGTGAAGAGCGGCCGGATCCTGCGCATCGCTTGTGCTGGTGAGTGCTGGACCCAGAGCAGGGGGCCTCGGGACAGCCCTTGCACCTCGCCCTGCTGCAGACTCTCACTGGCTCCCTTTTCTCTTGTTTTGTTTTGCTGTGTTTTTTTGTTTTGTTTTGTTTTTAATTAATTAATCTTTTTTTGTTTTGTTTTGTTTTGTTTTTCTCAGTTGTGAAACAGTGGTTGGATGGAATCAAGATTCACTTGTCCTCTGGAATGCAATGCCCCTGGCCTGCCATGGAGAAAGAAAAAATCTATGAGAATCTCCATGAACTCTTCTTCTTTGTGGTGAGCAACTGGCAGGACTGCAAGGAGGAAGAGGTGAGCACTGCTGCATTCCCAGCCCAGGATGGCAGTGGGGGTATCCATGCCGGCAGCTCTGTCTGTGCTCAGCAGGCTGAGAGCAGAGGGGTGATGAGAGGGAGTGGGCTGGCTCTGCAAAGGGCCCTGAACTGGCTCTGTGTTCAGGGCTGGATCTCCCTGCCAGGAAGCAGCTGCATGTCACAATACTGTGGCAAGGAGAGCTGGGGATGAGGGTGTGGGGAAAACCTGCCTACTCAGGGAGAGCAAGCCCATCTCCTTCTGGACATGGGGCTATGGGGAAGGGAAACAGAAAGCCTTCTCTGTAGGAAGGGCAGACCTTCAGTCTTTGATGCCAGGCCTCTGCCATCCTCTCCAGGATAAAAAGGCAATCCTTGGGGCTGTGGCTGCCATGTTGGATGTTCTCCTGCAAGAGGAGCTGCACCGAGAGCACGTCTGGGAGCAGCTCCTCTGGCTCATTCACCCGTGTCAGGAGATCCAAGACACCTGCAGGGTGGCCAAGGTGAGATGTTGTGAGGACTCAGGGTGGATGTGGGGCCTGTGCAAGTGCCACGAGGGGTGAGGGGAATGCAGGGAGGAGGTGGGGAGCCCTTGGAGAAAGAATGAACAGGTGTTCAAGGGAGGTCTGAGGCTTCCTGGGCTCTTCAGTCAAAGAAGGAATGACCCAGACAGGAGCCAGGAGGAAGCCAAGAGTCACTGGGGCTCATCTCCTGGGGATGGGAAGCTTCACCACCACCACCGAGGGGCTCTGAGTTCCTGAGGAGCTCTGTGCTAACTAGGGAGACCACATCCAGTTGCATCTGATGGGGGAGAAGAGGGCTGCTGGGTGGGAAATGCCTGCAAATGATGCCCAAACACGGCTTGATTGAGAGCAGAGAGACTCTTTTGGTGCTGCTGGGAGGTCTGGAATAAACAAGAATGCCTGTGCAGGAGCTTCTCCCCGTGGAGAAACAATTGGGAAACAGTTTCTCCACTCCCAAGTGGCTAGATGTGGCTTCATCCCTTTCTTCTTCTCCTGGTCTCTTGCAGAGCCTCACTATCTTCCTGGAGGCCTTAGATGGCATTGAGTGTGTCATCTCAAAGGACAAGTTTCAGGACATCACCAGTGCCGTGTTCTACCAGGTAAGGGGAGCCTATCCTTGCGCCTACAGCAGTTTCCCTCTTGGCTAAGTCTCAGGAGGACTGCAAAGCTCCAAGCCCCTGACTAAGGCGGCCCAGCCTTAGCTCCTGCATGCTCAAGGCTGCTCCAGAGCCGTGCATGTACCCCCAGGGATGCTGTGGGGCGGGCTGTGTTTTGTCTGCCTGTCCTCTTCCCGAGAGTGCCCAGGGAGATGAGAGCGGGCAGCACAGTGTCTTCCGTCCTCAGTGCTGATGTGATTTTCTCAAATGGACCTTGTTCCCACAGCTCTATGACAACACCAAGCAGCACAGCGAGGCTGATCGTGCAGAGCTGACCCACTGCATCATGCTGCAGGGTAAGGAGAAGAGCTTTGGCAGTGCTTGGAGGTGCCCTGGCCAAAACCTCCCTCACAAACCTCAGGAATGGGCATGAGTTTCTTGCTAACACAGTGTGGGATTTCCTCCCTGCAGCCCAGATCTGCCCAGAGGAAACGGTCCTGTTTCTGCAGTCACAGCTGGGAGATGACTGGGAGGCTGGATGCGTGGCAGCCCTGGGTTTGCTTGGTGCTCTGGCTCGCTCTGATGGTCAGTACCATGGGCTGGGACTTCCAGGGATCCCATTTGGCATCTGGGTCGTGGCTCCACTCATGCTTCTGCGCATCTCTTGCAGAGCCCATGATGACGGAGAAGCTGCCCCAGGTTGTAGAGGCTGTGCAGCGTTTGTGCAGCGACCCCAGGACCCGGGTGAGCTGGTTTGGGAAAAGAAAGCGCTGTTGGGGCGGTGATGCTGCTGCCAACACAGGCAGGGCTAGGGTGACCAGGGAGGTGCTGAGGCATTGACCACACAGTCATGATGGTTCCTGTGGGGAGAGCAGGCAGGTCCCTGTGCTGTGCATGGAAAGCACACAGCCTGGTGCTAAGGCCTGGCCCTCACCTCAGGAGCCAAGGCTCCTCCTCTGCTCTTCTTGTCTCTGCTCATGCCCAAAGGGCTGCCCCGATGAGCAGGTGGCTTCCCTTTGCCTTCTGACCAGGAAAATCACACCCACAATTGACCCCTTGCAGGTGAGGATGGCTGTTCTGTATTTCATCAGGGATCTGCTCAGTTCTAACACATGGAGCTGCTCAACCTGGGATGTGGTGGGGCACATTTTCAGTGAGTTCAGCCGCACCACAGGAAGAAGGGTAAGGACAGTGGGCACCAGCATCTTTTGGAAGACCTGTGCTGCTTAGTGGCTGGCACATAAGCACTGGTGGGGCCACACCTGAGCCTCCTGAGAGGTTCCTGAGAACTGAGAGTAACTGGCATTTCAACACCACCGTTGTGCAGGCAGCTGGAGAACTTTCTGCCCAGGAAGCCCAGGAAGAAGGAGCTCTCCAGCAGCTGTGCATGGACATCCTGGGGTCACTGGACGTCTCTGGGAGAGGGATGTCCAAAGTAAGTCACACTCTGCCCTGCTGCTGCTCCTTGCCTTCACAACACGCGTTCCTCATCCCACCACCCCAGGTCTCTCCTCCAATGTGCTCTGAAGCACACAAGACTCAGGGAAATTCACAGAATCCTCTTCATCTCTGAGCAGACGCAGGAATGCTGACTTGCTCAACTGTCTTGTTCCCTACAGCTCCTGTGGCCGCGGCTGCTGCTGTTTGTGGTGCCAGCTCAGTACACTGGCATGCTGATCCCGGTCTCCCGCTGTGTCCAAGCCCTGGCCGCAAGAGAGGACCTGACAGGACGGCAGATAGAAGATCTGGATCCTCATTTTGTCAGCTCCATGTTTCAAGGTAGGAGCACAAACTCCCCCAGTGAGCTCTGCTGACCTCTGTTAGCACCCAGAAGGGACAGCAGAGGTGCGCGTGGCTGGGCATGGAGTGTCTTGGAGACTTACTCAGCACTTTTTTCTCCTCGCAGGCCCACTGTTGATGCCCCAGACACTGCTGGCGCGCCTGCTGGTGAGTAGATGCTCCAAAGGCCAAGTGTACGAGCCCCCAGGAGGAAGCAGCATGGCCATGGGCAAAGCTGTTGGCTGCTCCTCGCCCAGCAGGGCAAAGCCAAGCTGCTTCCATCCTGGGGGGAAACTGCTGCTCTTGCTGCAGAAGTGACCCTGTTTCTCCTTGCTCTCACTCAGGTGGCAGCAGGCAGCCCTG